ACTGCTCCAGTGAACTGAGCCTGAGGAATTGTCACGGGACCTCCCAATTTAGAGCTGACTGGTCAGAAACAGAGGTAACAGCTTGGACCCGCAACTGGCATCAGAAATGCCAGAGGTGAGTGGGGGCGGGGTAGGCATTTGAAGTCTTGTGGGACTGAGTCCTTAACCTGTGGGATCTGCCAATCTGCCACCATCCCAAGGCAGACAGTATCAATACGGAGTTAAATTGTAGGACACCCAGCTGGTATCACAGAGAACTGCCTGGTGTGCGAAAAACCACAGCACATCTGGTGCCAAAAGTGTTGTGAGCATTGAAAGTAGTCCGAGAGTAAAGGAGACACATGGGAGAAAAACTGGCTTTCCCTAACACAAGCGTTTATCCTGTTTTCTAAAATTTTCAGGAATAAAGTTCCATAATTTTAGTGTCTGATTGTGGCCTACCACTCCTACAGTCAAGCTAGTCTCCAACAAATATTGGCAAAATAACAATACTTAATTTGCTTTTATTGTTTTGGAATGATATGAAGAAATAATTATGAGTATTAAAAACAAATTATTCAAAAGAAACTCTCCAAAAACCTGTAAACCACTATTCTATTCAAATTTCAACTTAATTTTTCCCTCTTAATGATAAAAATATCCAAACTTCTCTTAGGAGATTAAAAAAATTATTTTCTCTGTATTCTGTTTTTTAAACCTTTTATTTTTCAGTAAATAATATGTTCTAAGATGTATCTGAATATAATTTATTACTTTACCTTTACAGCATTATTCTACTAAATATAATTCAATAAACTTTAGCTTGGCTGAGTTTATGTTCATCTAGCGTAGGTAATATTAATAAATAAATAAATTAAAAACCAAATAAATAGAGTTATGTGGCTTTAAGAAGCTGACAGAGGAGTGTGGAAAATTAAAAAATGTAAGATTAGAAGTGGAGGCAATACTACATAAAGCTGAAAAAGAAGGAAGGGATGGGAGATCCAAGATGGCGGCCAGCAGGAGGCTGATGAAGGAGCTTGAAGAAATCCGCAAATGTGGAATGAAAAACTTCCGTAACATCCAGGTTGATGAAGCTAATTTATTGACTTGGCAAGGGCTTATTGTTCCTGACAACCCTCCATATGATAAGGGGGCCTTCAGAATCGAAATCAACTTTCCAGCAGAGTACCCATTCAAACCACCGAAGATCACATTTAAAACAAAGATCTATCATCCGAACATTGATGAAAAGGGACAGGTCTGTCTGCCAGTAATTAGTGCTGAAAACTGGAAGCCAGCAACCAAAACCGACCAAGTAATCCAGTCCCTCATAGCACTGGTGAACGACCCCCAGCCCGAGCACCCACTTCGGGCTGACCTAGCTGAAGAATACTCTAAGGACCGTAAAAAATTCTGTAAGAACGCTGAAGAGTTTACAAAGAAATACGGGGAGAAGCGACCTGTGGACTAAACTCTGCCACCACCGATTCCAGCGAGCGTGAGCGGAGACCCCGAGCAGCGCATTCAGACACCCCGCAAAGCAGGACTCTGTGGAAAATTGACACGTGCCGCCGCCTGGCGTTTGCTTGTGGCAGTTACTAACTTTCTACAGTTTTCTTAATCAAAAGTGGTCTAGGTAACCTGTAAAGAAAGGATTAAAAATTTAAGAAGTTCTAAAAAAAAAAAAAAAAAAAAAAAAAAAAAAAAAAAAAAAAAAAAAAAAGAAGGAAGGGATGGAGAACAAGTAGAAAGAAAGAAAGGAGAAGAGAAAGCAGAAAGAGTTGTTTCTCCCTGAGGGAATTCACAATAGAATTCTGGAAAAGACGGGCAGAATTAATTATAATTTAAGGATGAATAGGCCCAATTATATCACATGCTAGGTATGAATATAAATATGTTTGGGAACATGAGAAAAACAAATTAATTCTATTTGTGACGAATAATACAAAGCTTAATGGAAACAGATTCCAGGTAATACCATTTCTGACATACTTTAATCCAACCCCAAGCAAAGGAAAGAACAAGGAAATTGGTAAATTATAAATTCATATGTATATTTTAGGGCTATAACAATTCAGAGCAAATAAATGCAAGACTTTCAATACCAATTACTATCTTGGAGCAATCAGACGGTAACTCTTTCAACTTCCCATCATCAAATCTGTATCTAAGCATCTACCCAATTTCCACCTATGTGCACATCAGAAGGGATGAAAAACCCTTTTCTTAAGGCCAATGTCTTCATCAGTATTCAGGACTACATCCTCTCTCACTTTTTCAAAGACTTGAGTCCAGCAATTGCCACCTCCATAGTACACTACCTACTTCTCATTACCATTGAATTATTCCAATTAGCAAGTAAGTATGCTTTAATACTGTCCATCTAAGATTCCTCTTTAGCTCCTGCTTCTCTACTCCCCAGTCAAAATTTATGGGCTTCCATTTTGTCCTCAACCTACTTCAATTGTGCTTTTGTCTCTACCACAGAAATAGCTTCATCAAGGTAACCAAAGGACACCGTCTAGCCAAATACAATCATAAATTTTCTATCCTCATTTACTCATTCTCTCAGTAGCACGTGACAGTTTATCACTCCTCTTTCTTGAAATACTCTCCTCTAGGCTTCCCTGACATTCTTTTTTCTTGGACAAGTGGCTCAGGTATTTAGCTATCTCTCCCCAGGTGATCTTATCCAATCTCACACATTAAAAACACAGAACTTGGGGTGCTTGGGTGGCTCAGTGGTTGAGCATCTGCCTTTGGCTTAGGACATGAGCCGGGGTCCTGGGATTGAGTCCCACATCAGGCTCCCTGTGAGGAGCCTACTTCTCCCTTTCCCTATGTTTCTTCCTCTCTCTGTGTGTCTCTCATGAATAAATAAAATCTTTAAGAAAAAAAATACAGAACTTTAGCCCTGACTTCCTCTCTGCACTTAAGACTCAGAAATCCAATTGCCTACTATACAATTACATTCATATCCAAAACTCCACTCCTTAAAATTTCTTCCTCTGTTCCAGCATTCCTCATCTCATTAATACTAGCATCTATACAATTGATGAAAGCAACAATTTCTCTTTCCTTCACTTACACCACATCCAATTCATCATCAAACTGAATCTACTTCCAAAATATATTGCAAATCTGTCCATTGCCTATATTTTCATTATTGCCACTGTTAAATTAAACAGGAGGCCATGAGTCTGAGGCAGTTCTAATGCCACAGTAGCTGCAATGGAAGCAAGCCCAAATCTAAGCCTGTAGATACCTCAAGGTTACAAAATCGAAACAGGATTTCTTTTTGGAGGGAATAAAAAAGTTTTAAAATCACATAGTAGTGATGCTTGCACAACTTTGTTATCAGCATAAGAATCAGTAAACTGTATACACTTTAAAAGGGTAAATATTACGGTATGTGAATCATCTCTCAATAAAACTTCTAAAAAAATAAAGATATTAGTAAGGTCAATCTTTCCAAATACTTAAATTTCCAAATGTGTCACCATATTTTCAAATGAGCATTTATTCTATTTTGTTAAGTACTTGGGGTACAAAGATGAATATAACAAGATCCTTCACCTACAGAGAGATTCCAGATTAGCAGATGACAGGTTCTATAAGCCCTTGCCAAATACATGTAGAACACTTTACTATTTGGACATCTTTGCAAAAGAAGTGTATATGTTTATTTGTTAAAGAGAAATAGCTCTGAATTGCTAGTCAGAAAATTACTTTTTAGACTTAGTTGTATATACTATGTATACTTAGGAAGATTTAGTAATCTTGGAGCTATAATCATTATACTAATCACTGCTATCAGGAACAAGTTTCCTGAACATCTGTAGCCCAAGTCAGAATATAGTTTGTTCTTCCCCCACCCCTCCATCTTCCTTCCCCTTGTCTATATTCCATATCCTGTTGACTTGTGATGATTAGGTAAAAAAGTGATGGGTCCTCACTGATACTGGACAGCTCACTGATGGGGTAAGCCCAGTGTTTTCTGACATGTTTCCTCTATAAGATGCCCCATGTGAAAAGAAACAATAGATTTCTATTTACTTCTGTATTCCAAGTGTCTGCCAGTTGGTAGTAGATGTCTACTCAGTAAAAAAAATACTTTAACTGCATTGATATTACATAAAGCAGTCTTTGAACATACTAACACCATCTAATTCCCTTCTGAAGGTCTCACCCTTTTACTTTGTGACAGATATAATTACATTTGTAAATGAATGAATGTCTAATTATTCAACTGAATTTTGGAAGTGGACAAAGAGGGAAGGACAAAAACGTGGTACTATTCCAACTCTTTTAAATTAAAATTTATTTTCTTGACAACTGAGTTAAATGTTGGATGTAAAATAACCTTGCTTGTAAAAGGAAGAAAGCTGCTGTGTTGAAAGTATCTCGGATACAATTTCACTGAAATTGTTTAATATTCAAAAGCCTTTTATATGCTACTATTTTTAGACTAACTTTGGGGTCTTGAGCAAATCATTTAACTTCAATAAACCTCAGCTTCCTCCTTTCTAAAATTGGAATAACAATATCCAATCTGTGTCTCAGGATTGATACACAGTTAAATGGAAAAAGAACCGTGAGACTTTGGTATAAATGATCAAGAGCATTATCAGCATAGTATATCATTGCTATTCATGTACAGCTTGCATGCAATCTCAAGACTTATACAGTTTATTCAGCATACATCCACTGGAACTGTACTGATATATCTTACCTATTAAGTATCATATAATATTTTTCTCAGAGGATCAAATGACCATGCTAATCCCTTACTGAAAGTATATCCTAATCACTTAATATTCTTAAATCTTCAAAAATATAAAGGTATTTGCTAAATTCTCAGATTCCTGTATATAATTCCTCGATAAATTTGAGCTCAGATAAGGAAAATACACATCTGACTAACTTCTGTAAAAAGTATGAATGGTATATTTCAATCCTTTGGTGCAGCACAGTGAAAGCTTTGGTTTTAAAGTTATCTTCTAATAAAAACTACTTACCTTTGCAGCACAAGCTCGTATCACCTCCTAAAAGAAATACAATACAGTAAGGAAATATTCATAATTTCATTTTAATAAAATTATCAACTCTTCTCAACTATTCCAATCTTAATGTTTTAATAACAAAAATCAACATTTGGGAGAACTTCTTTATCTATCACCCTGCAGCTGTCACTCTGAGCTGGAAAGAATGCTGAATTAAAGAAAGAGACCCAATCAGTTCTTGGTAAATCTAACCTGCCAAAACAAAAGGCACTGAGGATAAGACTCTGGAGGGCCCACATGTATCTGTCTCAAGAAAAACATGTAGTCTCAATAAATGTAATAAGTAACAAACTTAATAAACTGGTAAATGCAAAAATTCTCCAGAACACTAACATGTCTCAAAAACACACCCAGAATTAATTGCCATATATAATTATCTCCCAAATAACAATGCTCACAAATATAACTCCCACATTAGTGATTTATTTCAGAGGAAATCTAAGAATAAACACTATTGAATGGCAAAGTATATGATCAGTATTGAAGGAGCTACAGAAAGGAAATGCCCATAATTCATGGGACAAGGCCAAGAGATGATCACTTCCGAAAAAGAAACTAGCAAAAGTCAACACATGAGTGATTTGAAAATTTGCTGCTAAGGAGACATAAAAAATACTCAAGTCCAAAAAGGTTAGTTAGCATGTATCATCAGCCTACAACAGAACCAGAGAAAAACGGTAATGATGAATGTGGAGTTTAGGAAAAAAGAGAACTGAAAGAGGAACATCAATTTTTTATCCAGAAATTTCTATGGGACAGATATTGTGTCTGAAGAATATTAGTAATTCGATCACTAAAAGGAGAAAGTGAAACTGCACATGATAATCTGACTCCCTGGACCAAATCTCAGCTCTAGTGCTTGCTGTCTGTGTGACACGGGTGATACTGCATGGGCTCTGGAAACCTCAGCTTCATCTTCTGTAAAATGGGGGTAATACTAGCACCCACACTATAGGATAGTTTTGAGGTTTAAATACAATGAACATGTAAAGATGTAAAGCATTTAGCACAGGAATTCATTATTCAGTCGTTACTCATAATTAAATAGATGTTAATCACCACCAATCATTATTAGGTGAAATCTCCTGTAGGGCAGAGAAAATTAACCTTTTTTCCAACACTGGCATAAAACCATCTAATCCCTATTCCTATGACTATGCTTAATAATGAACTCTGTAATCATTAACCTGGGTTTCAGATTAATTTTTAAAAGGGAGAGTGATCTTGAGTGTTCAGGCAGCTGTAAACATATACCTTTCACCATAATTTGTTTTTTAAGCTTATAAATCAATGTTTTGTAAGACTGATTACTTCTAGTAGGTACCTCAGATTCTGTGCAAGTCTGGATGAACAGATAAGATCAAATTCCTTAGAATGAATGTTGTCAATGTTCTCAAGATATTGTCTACCTAAGCGATCCTTAGAATGAATTTTGTCAGTGTTCTCAAGACACTGTCTACCTAGATCCTTAGGATCTAGGCTGCTGTATGCCTCCAGGGACTGCTGTAGCAGCAATACACAGTCAAACCTGTTATGTAGGAAACAGCTTAAGGACTGCACAGTAAAGCTACGGAGAACATAGAATACTCTGTTTTTGTATTCTTTACTTATTAATGAGTAAATACCTACTCAATGCCTGCTGAACTGAACTGGCTATGCAATTCACACACACACACACACACACACACACACACACACACACACACACACACCCATACCCTAAACTTGCATTGTATTTTATTAAAAAAATTCCGATTGTGGTTACAAAGAAAAGTATCTCCAGTAATGCAGTCTTCTATAATACAGAAGTAATCAAGTCTTCTCTAGGAAGAGGAAACAAGAAAAAGGCATCAAGACAAAAGGTAAAAATCCAGTCACTCTAAATGTTTGTAAAATATGAATAGAGCTGCCATAGGAATAAAGATGACATTTTGTTTTTATTCCCATACATACTATATACATTATGAAAAAAAAACCCTGCAAATAACATTTGAAAAAAAGTTCAGTGGGGGGATCCCTGGGTGGCGCAGCGGTTTGGCGCTTGCCTTTGGCCCAGGGCGCGATCCTGGAGACCCGGGATCGAATCCCATATCGGGCTCCCGGTGCATGGAGCCTGCTTCTCCCTCTGCCTGTGTCTCTGCCTCTCTCTCTCTCTCTCTCTCTCTCTCTGTGACTATCATAAATAAATAAATTAAAAAAAAAAAGAAAAAAGTTCAGTGAATTGTCTCAACATGGGAAAAACATGGTTTTTCAAAAAACACAGCGAAGAGAGCTTTTATTTCCAAAGGCGGCCTTCATCTACCTCAATTCCCAATGCAAACAGATATTCTAAATAATTTTTAAAAAGAAAGATGTGGTAAAAGCTAAATAATGATTCTAAGAGAAATAAATTTTTCTCTTATAATAAATTATCAATGTGTTTCCCCATGTCTTAGATTTCATATCTTAAAAAATATCTTTCTGATTTTTCCTTTACATTTGTTTTCTTCTGCTCTTATAGTCTTTCATTTATTTGAAGATGACAGCTATGTAAGATGACAGAAAAGATACAAGACTGAGGTGATTCTAGGATGATAAGTTTTACAGCATGAAGATCCACAGATTGCAGGAAACTTGTTCTTTTATTTTCTGTGAGTTATTTGCTCTTAAATCTGTAAAGTCATTTTGTCATGTAAAATTTTAGACAAGGGACAAATTTTCTTCCCACAGTGAAGAAACATTTTTCTTTAACTTTTAAAACTCAATTTATCTATTTGTACTTCCTTTTAAAATCCAGAACACCATATATTATTCAATAAAATTAGAATGCTAAAATATGTAAAATTACAACACTGAAATAAATTATAGTATATGTTCTAAAGTTTATACTGAGAAAAAGCAAAATATTTCCCGTATATTCCAGCTAAACCAGCAGTCTGATACACCTGAAATTCTCATTTTCTCAAGGAAGAAAAGGAGATTCTCTCCTGGATTTTTACCTTTTGTAAGTACAGTCCTAACTAAAGTGCCTCAGCGGTGTAGTTCCTGATATGTTTGGTTTAAAACTGGTCAAGACTGCTCACTTCAGCAGCACATATACTAAAACTGGTCAAGATTCCTATCAAAGGAGGAGAGGGAGGAATATTTAATAAGTGCCGGGCACTGTGCCAAAAGGTGAGAACACAAGCAACAAGCCTGCACGGTCTCTGTCTTCCTGGAGCTCAAAACTAACTCTAACTAAAAGAAGTATTATGGTCAAAGAGCATAAATACTTTTAAGGCTATTTAAGCTTCTCAATACATTTTACTCCTTATCTTTGAAAAAGACTGTGCAGTAATTTATAACAGAAAGAATAGCACAATATTTTTAATAAGCATCCTCCTCTTCATTTTCATAATCTATTTTCTCATTTTATGGGCAATACCTGGTTTTTACAGCACTTGAGATAAAAGACCTTTTAAATATGCTTAAGGAATGTTTGTATCAACTCTCTTTGGAAGTATGTGCTTATTTCTTTTATCCATTTCTTTGTGGAAGTCTATTTTCCTTTATTGTTTAGTTTTGCATATTAAAGAGGCTGTTCCTTTTACATAATTTACATAAATACTTTCCCACTGTTTTTGTGTTTGTGTGTTATACATATGCACAAATATACACACTTCCAATTTTAAACAGCAAAACAGGTCTTGGGCTGTTTTTTACAGAAATATCAAGTCAGGAAAGCATGAGGGTTATCCTAAATTGGTCTGCTTACTGCTGTAAGTGATGTTAGAACAGACACCACAAAGGAACTATAAAAGCATAAGAAAGCCTATTTTTAAGTAACTAACTTAACTTTGTTGAATTAATATTTATTGGCACAACAATGTAAAACAGAATCAAAATGGTTTCAAAATTTCCAACTTCTCAACTACATAAAATCATTATACATACTGTGACAGAATCGAGTCTCTGTTTCACTTGTTGCATCTTCATTGAGGAATGTTCAGTGTGGACATAGTCATCAATCTGAAAAGAGCCTTGATGAGGCAGTTTAGGACAGGTGCATAAAGCATCTTGACTTTGGTGTATTCCAGGTAATGGAAATGTTCCATTGTAGCGTTTGAACATTTCAGCCTCTTGCTGGGCAACTGGAAAAATAAAGCCATAATTAGTTTAACTCAACACAGCAAAAAACACAATGAAATAATTAAGCCATGAAATTGTAGCATTAAACAAATGATTAGAAACTGAATAATATATTTTAAAAACTGAGTAATCATAAGACAACATGACTGACAAAATATGGAGTTTCTAATATAAAAGCATAAAAAAGGAAAAACAACAATTTCACAGATAATTTATGTCACACAGTATTATAATTGAGCCTTGAAGGCCAGGCAATCTCTTGGTTTGGTAAACAACAACAAACTGGGATGGGAAGGCCAGGCAATCTCTTGGTTTGGTAAACAACAACAAACTGGGATGGGAGCCTAACTCTAAATATGTGTATACAGAAAACATTTAATATAAAAAAATCAAAGGCATAACAGAATAGAATTAAAAGTTTTTTTTAATTTTTTTATTTATTTATGATAGTCACACAGAAAGAGAGAGAGAGAGGCAGAGACACAGGCAGAGGGAGAAGCAGGCTCCATGCACCGGGAGCCTGACGTGGGATTCGATCCCGGGTCTCCAGGATTGCGCCCTGGGCCAAAGGCAGGCGCTAAACCGCTGTGCCACCCAGGGATCCCCAACAGAATAGAATTAAAGGAAAGGCAAGAACAATGAAAATATTTACAAACCCATCTCCCTAAAACAACTGTTTTCATACTTCTATTTCTTTGAGTCTTTATGCATATGTACATTTTATGCAAGATACCATAATGTGAATAAAATGTAAAGTTTTTCAATTTAAATATTTTTCATATTTTTATTACTCTGTAATTACCATTTTAAAATCCTTTACAGGGCAGCCCCGGTGGCTCAGCGGTTTAGCACCGCCTTCAGCCCAGGGTGGGATCCTAGAGACCCCGGATCGAGTTCCACGTCAGGCTTCCTGCATGGAGTCCGCTCCTCCCTCTGTCTGTGTCTCTGTCTCTCTCTCTCTATGTCTCTCATGAAAAATAAATAAAATCTTTTTTAAAAAAATAAAAAAATAGAATCCTTTACATCTCATCTAATGAAGCACTATTATTTATTTATGCATTCTCCTATTACTGAATATTTATAATGTTTTCTGTTTTTCCTCATTACAGACATGTGTGAATGACTACTTTCATAGCTTAAATTACTTCTTAAAACAATTCTTTCTTTGGATTTAATTCCCCAGGCTGGAAGAGACGGCTGAAAGGGTGAATGTTTTTGATGATGATGATGATGACAAGGATAACAGCATATATGCTGTATTTTATAGTTTTTAGAATGATTTTACATACATTACCTTATTTGATCATTTAAAATAAAGGAATATGAAAATTTGTAAGCATCTATTTGTATATACAAAGAAGAAAAAATTTACTGTGATCATTTAAAAAGTATTTCCTTAATTATATAATTTTTAATAGAATGCCTTTCTAAACATAACATGAAAAGTAACTGATATAATCAAGATTTGTAACAGGAAATCAATAGACCAGCCTTCAGGAATTCTGTGTACTACTGAAGTTACATACAGAAATACAAATGTGTATCTAAATGTTTCTGGAAATCAGATCCATAACTTTTATCAGATTATTTGTCAAAGGACTGCATGAGTCAGAAAATGTTAAGAGTCGCTGATATAAAAGACGGACAGATTTTGCTACATAAAGACTTTTCATTAAAAAAAAAAAACTCTATAATACTCAAAATTAAAAAGCAAATGACAGGTAATACTGTTCTATCTCTGGCCAAAATAAGAGTAAAAGGGACCAGAGATTTGCCCTCCTGCTTGAAACAACGAAAAACCGGATAGAATGTATAAAAGGAAGAAATAAAACTGTCTTTATAGATAGAATCATTTAGGTAGAACTAAGATGACAATGACGCAAGTGAAGTACATAAGGAAAAGCATTTAAAGAAAGACTCCCTCACTCTCAGGTCCTGGCCCCACATCTATGTAAATAAATCCAAATGGAATCTAAACAATAAAACATTAGAACTAATAATCAACTTCAGGTAAGGTTCCAGGATACAAGATCAGCACACAGAAATAATTGTATACCTATATTCAAGTAACAAAAAGTCAGAAATTGAAATTTTTAAGATATATACCACTTACAATGCCATAAAAAATATTTCACACTTTTGGAAATACTGATGAAAGATGTGAAAGACATGCACAATGAAAACTACAAAACACGCTGAAACTGAAGAACTAAACTGAGGAGATATACTATGTGCATAGTTGAAATGATAGCTATTGTTAAAATGTCAATTCTCTCAAATGATGTGTACATTCAGGGTAATCCTACTCAAAATTCTAGCAGGTCACTTTTGGAGAAATTGTCAAATTCTAAAATCCACATGGAAATGCAAAGGACTAGAAGAGTTAAAACAACTTCGGAAAAGAACAAAGGGGACTTATACAACTTGACTTCAAGTCTTACTCTAAATCTACAGTAATCAAGACACTTCATATTGGCATAAAGATAAATAAATAGATCACCAGAACAGAATAGAACCTAGCATGTATGGACAAGGTGTAAAGGGAATTCCATGTAAAAAGGATAGTCTCTGCAACAAATAGTGCTAGACCAATTGGATATTCATATGTGAGCAGATGAACTTCGATATATAGTTTGCACCATGTCCAAGAAATAACTCAAAATGAATCTAAATGTAAAACCAGAAACCATAAGAGCCTTTCAGAGAACATACAGGAAGAGTATTTTTGTGAACCTGGATTAGGCAAACACTTGTAGATACAAAACCAAAAATTGATGTAAGAAAAAAATTGGTAATTTTTGACTTCATCAAAATTTCAAACATTTGTTCTTGAAGACTGTTAAGAAGGCGATTAGAAGACAAGACAAAGACTGGCGGAAATATTTGCAAATCATATATCTAATAAAGCACTACTTGTACAGAGAAAACCTAACTCTTAGAAGTCCATAGTCAGAAAACAAGCCAATTATAAACTGGGCAAAAGATTTGAACAGACACTTCACGGAAGAAGAAAAATGGATGGCAAATATGTACATGAAAAAGGGGCTCAACATAATTTGTTACTAAAGATAAGCAAATTGAAATCACTGTGAGATAGCACTGTACACCTATGAGAGAGGCTAAAATTAAAAAGACCGACTACTTCAAATTTAGCAAGGCTGTGGAGATACTAAAACATTTATATACTGCTGGTAGGAAGGTTAAATGGCCTAACCACTTTTAAAAAGTTTGGCAGCTTCTTAAGAAGTTAAATGGACATCTGCAATTGGATGCAGCCCTGCTACTCTTAGAAATTTCTTCAGAAATGAAAGCACATGTTCATACAAAGACTTGTAGATGCATATTCTTAGCAGCTTATTTCTAATAGCTAAAAGCTGGGTACAACCACAACACCCATCAACAGGTGTATAGAAAAACAAACTGTGATCTATCATAAAATGAAACAATATTCAGAAATAAAAAGATGAGCTACTGATAAAATCTAAAATATAGATAAATCTCCAAGTAATGAGTGACAGAAGCCAGACCAAAAAAGGCTACATGGTATAAAGGTCTCACTTATATAAAATTCTAGAAAATGGAAATTAATTCATAGTGATTGTCTGGGGGAAGAAGGAGGTAGGGAGAGATTTCAAAGGAACACAAAGTAACTTACAGATGATGGATATGTTTATTATCTTCATTGAGATGATGGTCTCAGAAGTGTTTAAATATATCTACACTCATACAGTTTACTGCATGTCAATTATACCTTAAAAATGCTATTCGTACCCCCCCAAAAAAAAGCAAATGACAAGCTAGTGATAAAAAGGATTAATATATATATTTTTTAAGATTTTATTTATTTGAGAGACAGAAAGCACAAGCAGGAGGAGGGGCAGAGGGAGAGGGACAGACATTCCCCACTGAGTGGGGTACCAGATGTGGGTTCCATCCCAGGACCCGGAGATTATGACCTGAGTCAAAGTCAGATGCTTTTAACCAACTAAGCCACCCAGGCACCCTGGGGGTTAATATTCTTAACATGCAAAGAATCTCCACAAAATGAATTAAAAATGACTAATCTAACAGAAAATGGACAAAGAATCACTACAGAAAATTCACAAAAAGAACTATGCGGCCAATAAAAATATATTCAACATCACCAACAAGAAGAAATAAGGGGGGAAAAGCAAATAGAAACTGATGGTTTCTTTCTTTCTTTCTTTCTTTCTTTCTTTCTTTCTTTCTTTCTTTCTTTCTTTCTTTCTTTCTTTCTTTCTTTTTCTTTCTTTTCTTTCTTTCTTCCTTTTTTTTTTGCCTGTTTAACTGATCCAGTATACCTCAAGATACTTTTTCCTAAGAAATGAACTGAGTAAGAGGTGTGTACCAAAGTACTGCTTAAAATACTGAAAAAATATCTAACAGTGAAATTGTACAATAATCATTTAAATAAATTATGGTGTATACATTTAATGAAAGGGAATTCAGCCACTAAAGTTATATATAGAAGTCTAATTGCCATGATGAAACATCGCGAATGCATTATTAATCAGAGACAAAATAGTTTTTAAATACAATAAATACACAAAAGGATGATCAGTTTTTTTAGTCACCAACCTTAGCTGCAACAACCATGAATGTGAGATAGCACATATAAAACACTTTCGGTCCCTGATCACCATATTCATGCCCTACTTCATTTACACACTCTAAATAATGCACAGCTCCATACTAACAGGCACTCTATTCCTGCAGACCCTGATGATGGAAGTACCGGGGAACATTTACTGAGGTCTCCTCAGACCTGCTTACCATTCACTCTTTCAGAGACAGTTGCTCCTTCCTCAATACCAATTACTGTTCTCACATGGAAGTGCAGCTGCTTCTATATTTATATTTTCATAGGTCTGACTGCTATTTTTCAGTACATATTTTGGACTTTCTTTCATAGCACTCTGACAATTCACTCCCAAATATCCAAAGATTGTTTAAAGAACAAGAGAAAACTCTGAAGCTGTAA